AAGAAAGGAAATGAGCTGAATTGGTTTAAATGGTGGCAGCAGTTGACGCGAAAATGTGGAATCCAAAAGCAGTACGACGAATCTTTAGCCATGATCATGTACGAAGGTTTCGACGATCATGAATCCATAGCTAAAGCTATCGAACTACGTAAGCGAACTTTCATCAACAATAATTTTTTCATGATTCAATCTGACAAGCCAAATTTCGATTTCTTCCTAAGCGAAATGAAATTGAGAAAACCAACACGAATTATTGCCTTATATGAACTTTTCCTACAATATTGTAACGGCAACATTAATTGGCTTCAATATGGTTTTAATAACGCTGTCAGAGCGTTACAAAGTGCTGGGAATGCTTATGCAAATTTTCCTTTTTACACAGAAAATGCTTTGAACTGTTACCAAACAGTTTTGGAGTTGGCAAAGATTAATGGAAACGATCAAATAATCAATCAGTTACAATACGAAATTACTAAACTCTACTCAGAGAGATCTGTAAAACTAATTCATCATCACGCAGAAGTACCGAAAAAAGAAAAGACAATATATCGGTCCTCTTCCTTCGAATGCGAAACGCAACTAATGAAGATGATTGATCATGAGACAGAGTACGATCAGTGGTCCATTTTACGACAGTTTCATAAAGTACTTCATGAATTTGATTTAAAGTCGAGAGCGAGGCGCCGACTCAAATTACTAAATTATTATTTGAACGAGAGAGAAAAATGGATTGACAATTGTGATTTAAGGATATTTCTTGATATGCCTCTTCAGCATCAACAAAAAATTAATTCGTCGAGAGACATATATCCATTTCTGTTTCTTGCCATTTCGTCTCACTTATGTGAACACGTCACGAATCCAGGCAACAAAAAACTGAATTTGTGGCGATATGAAAAGTTTATGCTTGAATGGCTCTCATTGAACAATGTCAAAAGCATACTAATATCCTATGGATGTACAGATCCTACTAGCAATACTTCTATATTATCTATTCTCAATCGTCTCATCGAAAAATTGGAGCTTATCGTCATTTGGTGTACGTTTGTGATTAGTGTGTTGCCGACACAAGAAAGAGATTGTTTTGTGGTCAACGTCAATCAAATAAATTTTATGGACATCAGGCGTATTAACATCCCGAAGCTAGTGTTTTTCGATAATCGAGACGAGATTACGAAATATACTGTGCGAGCGGAACTTGAAACGTTTGCTCGCTAGAATTTGTGCAAGCATGTGTTTTTGCGAAAGAGTTTCTAAATAAAATTTCTCTTTATTGAATCTAATAATTTTAAAAGACAAGTCTGTGGCAAAAATATCTTTAGGTCAAATTTTTAGCCAAAATCGTCTTGGAAGAGAAAGTTTTTGTCGCTTTAAATTCTTGCTGAATATCTAAGAAACATTTTGCATTTTAGTCATCAAAAAGCCTTATTTTTAGATAATAAAGTAAAGATCTTTCAACGCACTTGATAGTGCTTCTGGGAAAGATTAAATGGATTTATATGATTCTTATCCTTTATTTTTATTTCGTCAAGTGTATCTAAGAGTATTCAAAATAGACAAAAATAATGAAGCCTCACATTATACCTGCCCAAGTAGTTGGTTATAGAATGAACATTTCATGACTTTTTTTATAAGAACACTTTAAGTATATGATTTTGTTTTCTGATCATAGTCAAAAATTGTTTCTTCTCTTTTTTTTCAACTTTATTCCATCTTAAATCCAACGTAGTGAGTGTCTATGTTTAATAAAATACATGTATGCGAGATACATAAATATAGAACTATTCTTACACTATTAGTCTGTAGCGCATCAATGAAACATTCGATACCTTTATTACTAATTCGATTCTCTGCAAGATCCAAAGTAGTGAGTGTCTGTATCCATGCATAAAAATGAACGTTTGACAGACTAATAATGGACTTATCATACTTTGTTGGTTTTTAACGCATTAGCCAAATAGTATGTTCCTTGGTCGCTGATCTGATTGAATCGAAAATTAATTGTAGTAAGTGTCTACATACCACGAAAAAATTGAGAATGAAATAAATGAATACAGAATGAGCCCTACAGTATTAATTTGTAATGCTTCGGCCAGATATTGTATTCCTTGATCGCCGATTAGGTTAGTTTTTAGATTAAGTGTAGTGAGTGTCTACACGAGATAGTGAGCTTGATTACAAATTAATAGAATAATATGATCATTTTACTTTATTATTTTCTAATGTATTAGCTAAATGTTGTGCTCCTCGAACGCCGATTAGATTCATTTGAAGATTCAGTAAAATAAGCGTCTGTTCTCAATGACAAAATAAATATATGATTGATGAAAAAAGAATTGATCCCAACTGTATGTCTTTGTAGTGCATTAGCAAGATATCCTATCCCTTCATCTCCAATTCGATTGTATCGAAGATTTAACTTGGTAAGTGTCTATATTGAATGACCGAAATAACAACGGCACAGTGAACTGTAGATAATTAATCTCGCAATGTTATTTTTTAAAGCATCAGCTAAGTATATTATTCCTTGAGCACTAATTTGACTGTATTCAATATTCAGCGTCGTGAGTGTCTGTATCAAATGATGAATATGAATCTAAGATAAATGTACAATAGACTAATCTTACTGTATTATGCTGCAACATATTCGCTAGATGTCGTATACTTTGATCATTGATCAGATCAATTTTCAGATTTAGTGTCGTTAATGTCTATATGAAATCGTCCAAGTTATTATTATCGCAAAGATTTCATAGATAGATGATTAATCTCACGGTATTATTTTGTAATGCATTAGCAAGATATTGCATTGTTTGAACACTAATTTGATTATATTCAAGAATGAGTGTTGTGAGCGTCTATGAAATCATAAATATAAATATAGAGACAGACATAGTCTAGACAAGAAAATGGACTATCTTACAGTATTATTGTGTAAGGCATTACCCAATTGTTGCATCTTGTGATCTCTACTCCGATGTCCGTTAAGAGTGAGAGCAGTAAGTGTCTATATAATATGGGGCAAATCAATGCGTACTACATGGTAAGAATGTGACGACAAATACGAATATGCAACACATCCTCTCTCTCTCAAATTATGGATAGATAAATGCGAAGCATCGGAAGGTAAAAAGGCATCATATAATTGTGCGATCTCTTCCTTGCACAAGGAACAAAAAAAAATGACGCCATTGTCAATCATGGGTATATTCACCATTATTTAATATTTCGTGATTTAAAATAGCGAAAGTCTCTCACGATCTATTAGATTTATATTAAACGTATCAAAAGAGAAACATAGTTCTGAATAATATACATTTATCTAGAGTTAAATGTCTGTCCTGTGTTCTAGTTGCTTTCATTTAATGATAAATGTGTAACAGAATTTGCAGAAAAATTCCCAAAGATTCCGACAACATGAATTCTGGGTGGTGTGTCCTCCTTCTTATACCCACACTCTCGAGAACAAAATTAAAACATGTGTTCTCTGAATTTTTACGGTCATAAAACATTTAGACACGTTCTGATTTTTACTCGTTGAATAATGTTCTTTCTTTTTTGATTAATCGTGACCAAGTCAAATGATGTGAAAGTTTTATCAATAGAATATATTTCTTATTATTATGCTTGATTGTTTGCTTTTCATTATTTAGTATGATCATAAATAGATTTATTTCCTTGAAAAGACATCATTATCAGAGTATCATACGGTTTGTCCAAACGTAACGTTGTGACAATTTGACAGAGTATTTTTCAGTTTTCTCGAGAACTATAATAGGTAGAAAGGCCATTGAGATGTCATTCAACGTAGCTCATTATACTCTATTTGTGTTACAAAAATCAATAGTTTTGACTGTAGACTTGAGTTTCCATAAAGACTTGTTGGTTACGTAATACCGTGAGATATAAAGGACCCTAAACTTGACGTATTCCTCCTTCCTTGTCATTTTTTTTCAAAGGACACCGTCCATATTAAATGTAAAAAGTGGCAATTTTATAGAGCTTTCAATGAGCTTTCTAGTGATAAAAAAGATTTTCCTTCAACTATTTCCATTCGTATAAAAAAACACAGAAAAAGCAAACGTAACGTTGTAACACACTTAAAGTACTTAATATGTTTAAAATGTTCATCTCCTCAATATAGTCAAGCTTTCTACTCAAGAACAAGATTGATACGTCAGTATGGGAGCTCGTATTCTGAGCAGCAAGTTGGAAACTTCAGAGGAATCCAGGAATCGTCTTTGACTACAAAAATCAAAACCAAATAAGCAATTTTGTAGAGAATTAAATTCTGCATCGAATGGTATGTGTAGCGATATTTTTTGAAAACATTTTCTGCTTAAAAAACTAAAAATACGATTTTCGATAGGTTTAGAATCCGGTCTCTTCAATAAAAAAACTCATTTTCTCAGAAAATGAATGTCAAATCCGTGATCAGCGTTAGAAACTGCATCTGACAGTCTATTTACATTTGTTCAAATTGAAAAAAAAGTTTTTTTTCAAAGCTCCATCATCGAAGTGTCGCGTTAGGTGGACAAGCCCAACATTACAAAAAGAAAGCTATTCTTCAAGAACTTTTACACGCTCGAATCTTCGGGTCCTATTGAATAAAAGTGAAAAAATAGATTTACATGGATCCTTACGATTCCATCCCTTTAAAATCTAATCTTCTTCTATGAAAATCACTTTTCCCACACGTTTTAAAAATAGTACTATAACATTTGCTTTTACTTTTTTAAATTTTCGATTCGATTTTTCTTCTCTCTGATTGATAGTGAATTTCTTTTTTGTATTTATGATTATGTCTAAATACGAGCAAATATCTGTCCTGATTTCAATAAGTGGATATTCTGCTAAGATGATTATATACAGTAAAGAATATTTCAAAAAACAGTTTCGAACAAATTTTATGTTATAAAGATTGAATTTATAACAGATCACATTTTTATTATGTTGAGTTCATCGTTATCAAAATGTTTAAAAATATCATTTCAATCGGATCATTTTTCGCTTGTATCATCAAGAGATATTTGATAAAATTTTCGACATGTATCACAACAATTTCCATGCATATTTGGTAAAGTATCTTTCATTTTGTTTGCAATACGTTTTTGAACTTTTAATTTATCTTTATAAAATTGAATAAAATAATCATTTTGATTCAATATTTGTATATTTTTATCATCAATATTTTCATTCATAATAAATTGATTCAATAATTTAACAATTTCATAACATTTATCATTACGTGTTGAATTCATAATTGCTAAATCTAAAGATGTATAACCATTAAAGTCTTCAATCATTATTGATTTTGTTTCCATATTTTGTAATAATAATGAAACACATTCAATATGACCATATTCACAAGCAAAATGTAAACATGTTTGACCACCAATTAAATATATGGGTGTTTGATGATCAATTATAAATAATGCATCAAAATTTCTCATGCTTAAATTAATATTATTATGTTTAATTAATATATTTAAAAATTAAACATTATTTC